CACTGATTTTCAGGTAGCACTGTAAGGAGTGCATCATGAGACCTCTGGGCTGAGCGCGTCGTGCGCAACAACAACCAAATTGTGTGCCATCGTAATGTGGGTGCCAAGTACATGGCTTTCCTCAATCTAGACCTTCAGGCTTCAATCAGGGGCGCGACGACGATGATGTGCAGGTCTCCAAAACCAAAAATCAGGTCCTTACCCCCCTCCCTGATATGAGCATATCATCAAAGGCTTAAAATGGAAAAGAGAATCAGTAGTATGGCGCAAGGAGTTGGAGATGAATGAATGGGCATCAGGAATCGGAGTAGTATTGAATTGAAGTACAAAGATCGTACAGTAGGTCAAACATACGTGAGAGACCACACACGGACGATCTACCAAAAAATTCGTCGAACAATGTTTCTCTAATAAATAATATGGATGGGCGAAAAAATCAAAAAAATGCACTGTTCTTTATTAATAAGTATAGATATAATCGTCATGTTGTATTTGAAAAGATATCAATTGCATTGCATGTTAATATTAGGAAAGATATTGATTGCACATTGATATTAGGTGTGATATAATTACGTGGTTAGCATTGAATTTGATATTAGGTAGTACTAGTAAATGCATATGTGCAATGCATGTTCATATTAGGTAGAATATACTCCCTTCGTTCAAAAATAAGTGTCGCTGATTTAATATAAAGTTGTACTCCCTCCGTCCCGAATTACTTGTCAAAGAAATGGATTGCGACAAGTAGTTCGGGACGGAGGGAGTGCTAACTTTGTATTAAATCACGGACACTTATTTGGACAGAGGGAGTATTTTTTTAGGGATATTTGACAGAACATTAATCGTGTTATATTAGATAAGATATTAATTATATAATAATTATGTGATTATTGCTAATATCAATATTTGATATAAACATGTTGAACGCTCGTCGTTGAAGCAATCTAGGTTGCTAAATTGACATGAATTAATGGTCCAGAATACTTGGATCTACCCCTTTCGTATTTATATATTGGTATTATATATAAATTGCACGTTAAACATGTTTATCTCGTTTCTTGTTTTTTTTTGAGAAATTTTAAACATGTTTATCTCTTTTACTGCATGCATCGTCGCCATGTTAGACTGGTATATGGGCCTGGCTTATCATGACCGAGGCAACAACTAAATGAGGTTCATTTTCCTCGCAAACTAAATGAGGTTCATGTTAAAAAAAACTAAATTTGGTTCAAAATGGAAACAAGTACAAACGTGAATTGAAATGGGAGAGTGGATTCTCCCAAAGAAACGTTTGGCACCTCTTAACTTGCCGCATAAAACTATTTCTTGGCCAATAAGTATTTTAAAGAGATAGTCTTGGCCAACAAGTAGTGACACAGCACATGCTCATGCCTTAAGTAGCGAGGTCCGACTTTTGATTAACCAACAGGATGAAAAACAAACCCCGTGGAATCAGCAGTATCTCCATTAACCGCCTATACGTTTCACAAGATAATTTCTGAATTTCTGGCAGGAAGCAGGATCCGACTGGTCGACGAAGTGAACTGACCGGCGAGGTTGGCGGCGATGAGCCTGGGCTACCTGAGCAGGGTGTGCGCCAGGGTAGTGCAGGCCGCCGTGCGCGCGGAGCAGCCGGCGTCCACGATGTCTAAGCCATCACCGGTGGCGCAAGTCCCTCACCGCCGCTCCCGGTTCTCCGGTGGGATGGCTGATCAAACTCCCGTGGCGGCGAAGACGGCAGCAGGGACGACGAGGAAAGCGGAGAAGGATGAGAACGTGATGCACCTCATCTGCTGGGGACCAGATTAGACAGACCCAACGCAGTGTAATCTCAACGAGAAAATTCTTTATTTGACACTGTTTTAAAATTTAGTTTCTTATTTGACACTAGAAAAGTTTTTCTTCCTTATTTGACACCAGTACTAAAATTTATTCTCTATATGACACTTCCGTTCATTTTGAGCCTAAATAACACCTGAAAAGACGATTTTGCCCCTCATGCGGTATGTGTGCGCATCCGTGTGTGATGTTGCGTCTGTGGGTGCACTGCGTGTGTGTTTGCTACTGCGTGTGTACGTGCGCGCGCGTGTGTGCTGCCTGCGTGTGTGCTGTTGCGTGTGTGTGCGTGCATGTGTGTTGCTGCGTGTGTGTTGGTGCATGTGTATGTGTTGCTACGTGGGTGCTCCTGCCCTCGCACTGATGTTGCGTGTGTGCACTATTGCCCCCCACACAAATACCATATGAGGGGCAAAAGAGTCTTTTCAGGTGCCATTTAGGCTCAAAATGAACGGAATTGTCATATAGGGAATAAAATTTAGAACTAGTGTCAAATAGGGAAGAAATTGTTTTTCAGTGTCAAATAAAGAAGCAGATTTTAAGATAGTGTTAAATAAGGAATTTTCTCAATCTCAATTGGTAGTTGTTTGAATAACTAGTCTTCGAAACCATTTTTTTTGGCAAAACCAGTTTTAGGAGGATTTTTAGAAAAGCCATTTCTAAGTTGTTTTTGTTAAAGCTAGCTTACGGAATATTTTGTTTTTAAAAATTGTCTTATCAATTTCGACATTGATACACGTACAACGATTCCTTTTTGAAGGCTTTGTCTAGGAATATCATATTACCGTTCGATCGCATGTAGTAGGGTTTGTGAAGATCCTGTTGCGAGGTAGATTCAATTTAGATGTCGATATTGGACTTTGTCTCATATCATAGAATAATCTCAATGCAGAGGCCGAAGACATTCCCCTCTTTTTTTTTTGAGGAACCGGCAGGAGCACTGCCTTTTCATATAAGAAGGTAGTTTATGTACAACAGAGATCCGGTTTTTAAAGAGAGACCGGACAAAAACCCTCTAGAAAAGAACAGCATGATGGCACGAATCAACCGATACCGGCTGCCACCTGTGCACGGCCAAAGGCCAACGTCCTTTGCTTGATGTCGTCGAAGGCAATAGCTGCTACCTCAAGGTGCGTGAGGCGAGTTCCATTGAAGATGCGTCGGTTTCGCTCCTTTCAGATGTTTCAGATGGTGTAAAGGAAATGCCCGCTCCGCCTTCTTTTATCATCCTTGGGCAAATTGGTAGTGAACGAATCTCACCAGTCCGAAATCCCCATCGAAGGGGCAACGTGGGCGTGGCCTCAGAGTCCTCGCCCGTCCACACCTGGACGTGAGACCAAACTGCGGCGGCAAACAGACAGTCCTTGCAGAGATGAGTGGACGTCTCCGGCACTCTTTTTGAAAATGAAAATCTGATGACAGTTTTAATGTATTTTGAGAACACATCAAGACATCCAGTGAATGAACGACCACGACGACCATAGGCACGGCCGGGCAATGGCAGATTCCGCTGAGGACAGAAGCGGTGGCAGGGACGAGACAACGAGGAAGGGACGTCAGTGGCGGAATCCTGCAAGGGCGGCAGTGAGAACGTCACTGCAAGGACATCACGGAGATGCCTACCTCGCACAATTGTGTAGCTCTTGCTGGTTTCCTTGGTCTTCCGAATGTTGAACACCTTCACAATCTTCTGCTCCTCAACCAAAGACGCTCAGATGATCCTCTCATAGACAACGTGGGCAAATCATGAAAACATTGAGTTCAGTTTCGAAAAGAAGAGCGCCCAAACTTTGAGTCTAAGAATACTACCAGGAGTACACTCCATATGAATTCGTACACCGGCAATCCTAGGTAGAATTGGCGATCCATGCCCTGGAGCAGTAGGAGGGCGGTGACGAAGCTATGTATCTAGAGTAGGGTCATGGATCGGTTCAAGATACCCTCCCCAAGAACATCCTTAAAGGTACCAGAAGCATTCGAATAAAAATCATCATCCACTCGACTATGAAGTTATGTTCCACTCGACAATCCTGAAGACACTCAACCGTATAGATAATCAACTCGACTACCAGAAGATCCCTCTTCACTCTGTCGGGAATTAAGTCATAGCTTTAATGGCCATTATGTATCTTTATTGCAGGCGTTACCAGTAACGTTTCCTTCTTTATGTACCTTAAACCCTCTGTGACGTGGGCTGGCTGGGGTCCTGTCGCACTCTATATAAGCCACCCCCTCCACAGGCACAAGGGTTCGCACTTTTCTATAACACACACGCATATAATCCAGTCGACCGCCTTCGGGCTCCGAGACGTAGGGTTGTTACTTTCTCCGAGAAGGGCCTGAACTCATAAAACTCCTGCGTACAACTCCTCCATAGATAAGATCTCGCCTCTACATTTCTACCCCCCATTCTACTGTCAGACTTAGAACCACGACAGTTGGCGCCCACCGTGGGGCAGGTGTCTTAGCGACTTGTTGGAGAAGTTGCGATTTTTTCCGATCCCCATCAACATGGTTTCAGGCGGAGGTTTGGCCAAGGGCCACGAGATCCGTCTCGGTGCGCTCGTATTCATCGGCGACGACTCCGCTTGGCTCCAGGAAGCGCCACTCGACGTCGAGGCGCTCCCCGTCCGCGGGGCAACGCACTTTCGCGCGTGCGTCCGTGGCGTCCTCCTTCGGCAGCCGTCGACTCAGTATCGGTCGGCTCCCATGCCGACCTCCCTCCCCGCAGCCCACCGGGGCAAACGTTCCGGTCGGTCGAGGTTTCAGCGGTGGGTGAGGCATGCGGTGGCTCGCCAATCGGCCACCTCCCAGGTCGCGGCAATCGAGCCCGACGAAACTCTCTACGGCCTGTTCGACCTGTGGACTGGCTCTGTAGAGACTGCATCCGAGTGCGACAGCAGCGACCCCGCGACTGAAGTTTTGATGGTCAATGGACCACGTAGTCCTCCTGGCTTCACCCGTGAGGACGGAGGCGATGGTGGCGGCGATCCGTCGCGTGTCCACGAAGAGTACCGACCCGAACCCCTCTCTTCACAGAGAAGGGACGAACTTCGCCGCCGGAACATGGATGCACTTCACACTCCTATCGTTGGAGAAACCCCTGAGGCTCAGGCCTTGGAGGAGGCGCGCCTAGCCAACTTGGCTGAGCGCACTCGACTGGAGAACCTCCAGCACGCACTCGACGAGCGTGCTCGGCAGCGTATCCCCGAGTCCAGTCGACGCCAACTTTTTCCGCCTCCGACTTAGGTATACCGAACCCCGATCCAGAATCTCGCAGCTGTGGCCCGAATAGCGGAGTCAATCCAACCTTCCCAGTCAGAAGCTGGTCGAGGTCTGGTGCAGATCCGGGCCTTGCTCCGTGCGGCGGGAGAGCAGAATACAGCAGTATCTCAGTCGCGGAATAGGATCCATAGTAGATCCGTGGTGGCAGACACTGTCCAGTCGGCCCATAGTCTGAGATCGCCCCCGAGGCGTGAAGGGAGTGGAGACCAGCGAGATCAGTACAGAAGCCGCGAGCAGTATGATCACCGACTCGATCACGACGATCATCGTCGAGTGCCCACGCCTCTCCCAAGGAGTGGATCGTACGTGCCTCGGCAACAGGATGATAGACGCCCTCGCAGTGGTGGGCGAAGGATTCCAGTCGACCCCAGGGAACCGGGATTTGACGCGAGATCTATTCTCGTTCAGGGTCTGGTCGACAGAAATAGAGATCACAGAGAAGGTCCCGACAGAGACTTTCCAACCAGCAGCAGAGTGCATGTCTCAGGTCCGGAGTGCTTCAGCAGAGTCATCAGGGCTGCGGTGATTCCTCCCAACTTCAGGTTGGCGACTGGAGTCAGTAAGTTCACTGGAGAGTCCAAGCCTGATACTTGGCTTGAAGATTACCGAGTGGTTGTTCATATCGGTGGTGGCAATGATGAGGTGGCCATGAAACACCTTCCTTTGATGTTGGAGGGCTCAGCCATGGCGTGGCTTCAGTTAGCGCCTGTTAGCATTTATACTTGGGAAGATCTTGCCCGAGTATTTGTTAGAACATTTGAAGGTACTTGCAAACGGCCGGCAGGGCTAACAGAATTACAATGTTGCGTTCAGAAACCGAATGAAACTTTGAGAGATTATATCTAGAGATGGATCACATTGCACCACACGGTGGAGAATGTGTCTGATCATCAGGCAATTTGTGCCTTTAAAGAAGGTGCCAAATATCGGGAGTTGAATATGAAATTCGGTCGGACAGGAGCTATGACTCTGACTGGGATGATGGAAATTGCCACCAAGTACGCCAACGGTGAAGAAGAAGACCGACTCCGGAGTGGCAAGCACAAAACATTCGCCCACGAGACCGGAGGAGGAAACTCCAGTCGGAAGCAGAAGCGCAAAGCCGAGCCAGCCGCTCCTGGTGAAGTCTTAGCCGTGACCCAAGGAAAATTCAAGGGGAAGCCCAAAGGGTCGTGGAACCCCAAGAAAGTAAAAGATCATGATGGAAATGATATGCTGGATTTACCATGCCACATTCACACCAAAAAAGATGAAGAGGGTAATTTCATTTACCCGAAGCATACCACTTGACAGTGTCGACTCCTAATACAGCAATTCCTAGAGAAACAACCCAAGAAAAAGGAGAAACAAACAGACTGTTGGAAATATGCCCTAGAGGCAATAATAAATTAGTTATTATTATATTTCCTTGTTCATGATAAACGTTTATTATCCATGCTAGAATTGTATTGATAGGAAACTCAGATACATGTGTGGATACATAGACAACACCATGTCCCTAGTAAGCCTCTAGTTGACTAGCTCGTTGATCAATAGATGGTTACGGTTTCCTGACCATGGACATTGGATGTCGTTGATAACGGGATCACATCATTAGGAGAATGATGTGATGGACAAGACCCAATCCTAAGCCTAGCACAAAGATCGTGTAGTTCGTATGCTAAAGCTTTTCTAATGTCAAGTATCAT